AATTTCTCTTTCAGATTTTTCATCATTAGTGTATAGGAATGCAAGAGATTTCTGTGCATTAATTTTGTATCCTGCTACTTTACCAAATTCATTGATTAGCTCTAGTAGTTTTCTGGTGGCATCTTTAGGATTCTCTATGTATAGTATCATGTCATCTGCAAACAGTGACAGTTTGACTGCTGATGGGTGGGGCTGGGTTCCCTCCCTGTTGGTTGTTTGGCCTGAGGCAACCCAACACTGGAAGCCTACCTCGGCTCTTTGGTGGGGCTAATGGCAGACTCTGGGAAGGCTCATGCCAAGGACCACCCCCCGGAACCTCCGCCACCAGTGCCCTTGTCCTCAGGGTGAGCCACAGCCACCCCCCACCTCTGCAGGAGAGCCTCCATCCCTAGCAGGTAGGTCTGGTTGAGTCTCCCCTGGGGTCACTGCTCCTTCCCCTGGGTCCCGATGCGCACACTACTTTGTATGTGCCTTCCAAGAGTGGAGTCTCTGTTTCCCCCAGTCCTGCCCAAGTCCTGCAATCAAATCCCACTAACCTTCAAAGTCTGATTCTCTAGGAATTCCTCTTCCCATTGCCGGACCCCCAGGTTGGGAAGCCTGACTTGGGGCTCAGAACCTTCACTCCAGTGGGTGGACTTCTGTGGTATAATTGTTCTCCAGTTTGTGAGTCACCCACCCAGCGGTTATGGGATTTGATTTTGCTGTGATTGCACCCCTCCTACTGTCTCATTGTGGCTTCTCCTTTGTCTTTGGACGTGGGGTGTCTTTTCTGGTGAGTTCCAGTGTCTTCCTGTCGATGATTGTCCAGCAGCTAGTTGTGATTCTGGTGTTCTCGCAGGAGGAGTGAGCGCACGTCCTTCTACTCTGCCATCTTGGTTCAGGGCTATCTATCCATCTATCTGTCTATCTATCTATTTATTTATTTATTTATGGCTGTGTTGGATCTTCATTGCTGCGTGTGGGCTTTCTCTAGTTGCGGCGAGCAGGGACTGCTCTTCATTGCAGCGTGTGGGCTTCTCAGTGCAGTGGCTTCTCTTGTTTCCTATGTCATGATTTATTTAACCGGTCCTCTACCGATGGATGTGTAGTTTTCCTCTTGCAAACATGCAAATATTGCAATGGATGACTTTGTCCATGATTTCGCATGTGCATGAGTATATCTATAGGATAAATTCCTAGAAGTGTTTGAATTAAATGTCATGGACCTTTTAAATTTTGCTAGAAATTGTCAAACTTTCCCTCATTATCTTTCGACCAAATACACTCCCAGCAGCCCTGGATGAGAGTCATTGTAGGATTCTGATTCAGCCTGAGACGTGGCATCATGTGGAAGGACCATGAGTGATTGGGGGACCATGAGCCAGGCTATCCAGCATCCAGCTATCCCAGCACAACCTGCGATCATCTGAGTGGCCTCTGCAAATGGTTTGACCTCTGGGCCTCAGACCACCCTCCCTTATATAAAACCAACAGATTGGTGGGTCCATAAGTGCCTTGCTGATTCCAATCTGTTCTCAGGAAGGAGGCCCCAAAATATTAACCTCAGCCTTTTTAGTCATGGGTAAAAGGATAAATGAGATTTTTCTCTGACTCTAGATGAGACTTCTAAGGACTTAAAAACCTATTTCTCTCTGGGCTTAAATCTGGTTGAGCTGGGCTTCTGGCAATGGCCCTGGTTTGTTTGGGGGTAATTAATGAAATCATCCATCTTTACCCTGACTCCAGACTGAGACCAGTGAGCAGATGATGCCTCTGACACATGATGCCCTACCATTTATACCTCCTGGGACACCCCTGCCTTCCCCCCTCCCCGCCCCCTGCCCCTGCAACAGAGTAGTCTGACACCCATACCAGCAGAGGGTCAGGGAAAGAAGAGGCATTTCTGATGCTTGGGAGAATCATGAACTATTGTTGAGTAAAGATAAATAACACAAAGTAACCCGTGAGAGATGCAGCTGAAATCCAAGTAGACACTTGTCATTGGAGAGTCTTCCCTATCTGTGATGTTCAGTATGGGGCCAAAAGCTTGATACCAATGTTAGTTTCTCTGTCCATGACGTCTTAACACAATATGGCAAGACTCCCCCATCAGCAGTTACACAGACCCCTTGTTGTACTCAACTTTGTCTCTTTGAGATCTCCCTGAATGTGTCCCAAAGTCAGTTTTTTAAAAATTTTTTATTTGGCCACACCGGAACCCCAACCAGCGATCAAACCCATGCCCCCTGCAGTGGAAGCGCGGAGTCCTAACCAGTGGACCACCAGGGAATTCCCAGTTTTGAGAATACAACGTTCCTAGAATTTAATTGTACGTTCTTATTCTGTTGTGTGGCGGACACTCTGTAAGAAAAGACTTTACACAACTACTCCTGGTTCTCATGGTCAAATGTTTCTGTTGCAGAGAGGCCGGGACCACGGCTAGTCCATATGGCTGTATTTGTACAAATTAGAAAAAGGCACCCGTTCGTCCAGGCAGGTGGAAACTTGGGACCTACTTGTGTCCTCGGGTAGGCACCCCTGTGCAGGGTGCACCTGTACAATCCCAGTTACTGGGCTGTCTCAGCAGTTGAAAACTTCAGGATATCACTTATCTTATCCGAGCCAGAGCAGAAGTCTTGAAACTTTCTTCATGCATAGGAGTATCTGCATAGCTCAGGTTAGGGGTCCATAACTCATGTGTTTTTCCTGATCTCTCAAGTTGTTTGGGGAAGAACCAAAGATCGACATCTTTATATCCATGGCTTCTTCATTGCCTATTGTGAGCGATAAAAACAGGTCAAGGAATGTATTCTGGGTCCTCTGTTGGCCTGGCTTTAGTGCTTTCAGGGCTTCTCTAGAACCCCTTGCCTCCTGTATTGCTGCCTTTCTGTGAGTGTGTTTCCACCTCTATTCTATAGATTCCTTTAGGGCTGGAACCACATCTTACTTATTTTTGTCTTTTAAAAAAATGTTTTTAAATTACAAATGTAGTACATCCTTGCAGTAGAAATATTTTAAAACCGTAAACTAAAAAGTGAAAATCCCCTATCTGTTCCTGTTTCCAGTTTGAGTCCTCTCCCAAGAGGGGACCACTATTAACAGCCACTATTGTACATCTTCCCAGAACTTTCAATTTGTAAGCATAATGATGCTAATAAAAGTGCTAGTGTTTATTGGATGCTTACTAAGTGTCAGGTGCTATGCTAAGCACTTTTCCTGTGTGTTCTCAATTGATTCACAAAACAAGCCTATATGAGGTCGGTGTTTTTTTATTCCCCATTTCACAAAAGAGGAAACCAGGTGATGTTACTAAGTGGTAAAGCCAGAATTTGAACCGAGGCAGGCTGACTTCAGAGCTCATGCTGTTAAAACCTCTATTGTTCTGTCACTTGCTTTGGGGATTTGGAATGTCATAGACATTTCTCTATAGTTGCCCACATAATTCTATTTCCTCCTTTTTAAAAGTTGCTCATTATTCTATAAAATGAATGTATTTAATTCATTTAGCCATTCTCCTACTGGGAAACCTTTTAGGATTCTGCAGTTTTCCATTTCCTTATTTCATCAAATCTAAGATTCCATTGATTGTAAGATGCACCCTGTTTCAGAGATTAAAATGTGAAATAAAATGTGCATCTTAAAATTAATGTATTATGGCATTAGAAACTGCTGCAAATGAACATATTGCATATAATTTTTCACATGTGTATTTCTGTAGACGTTTTCTAGAAGTAAATTTGTGCACCAAAATGAAGGTGCATTTTAAAAAATTTTATAGATACTGCCAAATTCCCCGTATCTTAGTCATCTGTGTCTCCCACTTACGTCACACAATGTCTGGCATTATGTAGGTACTAAATAAATGTTTGTTCAGTGGACAAAATGCATGACCAGGCCCAGCAAATGCAAAGCATTTTGGCATACTCACATGCAAACACACACACCACTACCACACACACCACCACCACCACCAAAAATCCTAACAGTGACCAACAAGGAGATTAGAATATTTTAGCACCACATGTGTACCCACTTCTTGATGAAGCACTGGCCACAGTAAATGACAAACACTAATAAATGCATTTTATGCAGAATTATGTGTTCAAAGTGATTTTAAAATAGCTTGCAAAATTACCTGTCAAAAGGCTGTGCACTCAATTTTTTGAAAATACACGAATAATTCCAGCGTTTTACAACCCCCAAGCTACTAGACGTGAGGTTTCCAGAGAGTTTAATGGTCTGTCATTTTCTCAAACACCCGCAAGACTCTCTGCATAAGAATCACCTGGAGTGCTTATTAAAATGCAGACCCCACGCCAGAGCTTTGGAATCATAATTTCTGGGGATTAGGGGCAGGTGAATCTGCATTTTAAACAGGCACTCCACGTGATTCTAAGGCACTCAAAGGCGTGAAAGCTAGCGCATTAAAGGGCTTTAAGGAGTCTTAATTAGATTTGCCCTTTAGAACGACCCCTTTGGCTGTAAAGTGTAGAATCAACTCGAAGTGGGCAAAAGTAACCGAGATAACTAACACCATAGCTCATCCCAGCGCGGGGAGGGCGGCCGAGATGGCCTGCGCGCTTCTGCGCCCCCTGCTGGCCTTCAGCAGCCACGTCCTGGACCGGCCGGAGCGGCCAACTGCGACTGCGCACTCCGGAGCCCGCCGGGACCGTCTGGGTGCTTGCCAACGCGCTGACCTGGACCGGAAGCGGAAGTGAGATCGAGTTCGCCTCGCGCGCTTCTCCCACCGCAGCCACTCGCAACCCTGTGGGTTGGGTCGCTTTGCGCAAGTGTCGGAAGCGGAAGTTGTTAAGACGTGGGGGAGTTCTTGGGAGAGAGTCGAGGTTTCCTAGCGCTCGGTGTGTTTGCTGTGCGGCGGCCTGAGCATCAGGTAAAGCGCATTTGTGAGACCTCGGCAGCCTTGCTACCCGGCTCAAGCTGGATCCCGACCTCGTATCCTAGCCTGAGGGGTGTGGCACCCGGTGCTCCGACTCCTTCCTAGGGTCCTGGTGGAGGTACCGGGAGTCACTTGTCCCTCCCTTGGAGTGAGGCCCCCTGTCCGGCTACCTCCGCCATGGGCAACACGAGCAGCGAGCGCGCTGCGCTGGACCGGCAGGGCGGCCACAAGACGCCCCGAGGGGACAGCTCGGGGGGCTCCAAGGATGGGGACAGGCCCAAGATCCTGATGGACAGCCCCGAGGACGCTGACCTCTTCCAGTCAGAGGAAATCAAGGTAATGGGGGTGTGGGAATCTGATTCCCCTTGACTAATGTTGAAATCTCCTAGATCCCTCCCCTCGTATCCCCTCTAATCATCATAAGTGGGAGAATCCTCTTAGCAGCTCAGGAACCTGTGTCTGATTACCGATATGAGAAAGTCACCCTGAGGGAGGAGGAATTCACTTCGTTTAACATCATTAAGGAAAAGGCAGCTCTGAGACAGGTTCAAATTCATAATTAATTAAGATCGTGGCTCTAGCAGTAATTGAGTCCCAGTCTCTGCCTTTCTCTTAAGTATAATTAATTTCACAGCTCTGAGAAATCTTCCACCACCTTTACGCAGACTGGCGCTTTTTGTAATAGTTTTGCAGTTAACTTTCAGTTTTGGAGATAAACCAGAACGTGTAAGGTGAACGTAGAGTCGAACAACTGACTGCAGCTGCCAGAGGTCTTTAGTTCTGCTGAAAAGTTGTGGTTCACCCTTTAGAGCAGGCATAGAAAAGTAATTTGACTTCCGGAGGTCAGTAAGTGAAACATGAGTGTGAAGGAGGCAGCCAGCTGCTCGGCTTCTGTCTCCTCTTGTTTATATATGACATAATATTTTAACCAGGCCAAAGCAAACATTTTTGCAGGCCAGATTTGGGCGTCCTCCTGCAGTCTGCTTTAACTCATTAAAAAGTCTAAGGACGGTTCTCCTTTCCTGCTTCAGCCACTTTTCCTGCTAACCACCTGATGTGATCAGTTTCTAGGGGCAGAGCCCGGTCCAAGAATACTTAGTGATTCTGGCAGCTGATATGTATGTGGTATATCCTAAAGAAATGAACAACTAAATACTTACATGCAACAAGTAGGTTTAGGAAAGATGACAAGCACCTCTTCCCCCTCCGACACACACATTCTGTTAGTATTTAGTTGCCTATTAATCATCATTGTCCATTAGGCTAATTGGCAACTCATCCCAGCTGTACTCATTTTCCTCAGATGCTGGCCTGGGTGATCGCATTATTATCTTATATCCTCACCTGGATCTTGGCTTTGAGGCTAGCCTATAAAGAGTCTGCCTTTTTTTTTTTTTTTTTTTTTTTTTTTTTTTTTTTTTTTTTTTTTTTTTTTTTTTGCGGTACGCAGGCCTCTCACTGCTGTGGCCTTTCCCGTTGCGGAGCACAGGCTCCGGACGCGCTGGCTCAGCGGCCATGGCTCACGGGCCCAGCCGTTCCGCGGCATGTGGCATCTTCCCGGACCGGGACACGAACCCGTGTTCCCAGCATCGGCAGGCGGACTCTCAACCACTACGCCACCAGGGAAGCCCTTAAAGGGTCTGCTTTTACTTGGCCCTCCAGCCTGTGATTTCAGCTTGCTTTCTGAATTTGTTGCATTCCTGAATCTGTGTGCAAAGTGAACTTTGGAATACTGTTTTTCCAATGATTTGACATCTCTTCCCCTAGAAATAATTTTGGCCCAAGCGCAGCCATTTAAGATACCGTAAGAATCAAACTACTTTCTTTAAGAAATATTTGTTCTTTTGCTGTTTTAAAACTCTTACAAGAAATGTTTAGCATACAGATGATCTGTAGAGAATGATTTAAATAATTTCCGTTATCATTTCCACAGAAGTTACTGAAATGATGTAGCAGACACACTGGATTGAATGCTCAATACAAAAAAAAAAAGTCATGAATTCTTTTAACTGTACTTGCTCACCATTTTGGCTGTGGTTAGTTATCACACCCTCAGTGGAAAGTGATTGCAGTCTGTTATTCTTTAATCTGTAAATTTTCTTAAAGGTCACAGAAATGCAGGTATCTTTTAAATGAGCCCAGGTCAGTATTTGCAATGAAGGTGCTAGAAACCTGCTCCAGACCTTTTAAGAGTCTCTCACAGCCTAGAACTCCTGCTCTTTGGCTTCTGATGAGGAAAAATGTAAGAGATCCAAAACCACACCCAGAGTCAGATGTGTTTTTTTCTCTCGTCCCGGAACACCTCCTTTATGCAGCGCTGCGCCTATAAGAAGTTACTGTTTACTGTAATGAGGGTCAGTCTTTGTCTTATCTTTTTCTCCCTGGTGTCTGGACAGCACTCAGTGATTAGCTTTTGCCTTCCTCAGCACCTGGGCTTGCCAGTTTTCAAGTTGACAGCGCTGGAATTGTCCCTAATAAATTTTCATGTACTTCAAATCTTGCTTAATTAAGGGAGGAAAATGACATTTATTAAGCTAATCTCAAATTCATTCACTGCCTTCTTGCAAGTGAGCTTTATAACTTCTAGAATTTTGATGACAACCTCCTAAATAACAGCAGTAACAGTAGCTAATAATTATGAAGCGCCTACTCTGGGTCCGACACTATGTAGAGCTTTTTACATGGGCTGTCTTGTCTCACTCAGCCTTCACAGTAACCTTAAGAAATAGTTGCTTTTATTATCTCCATTTTGCAACTGAGTTAACGAGCCGGAATATGAACCTGGCTAGTGACAGCTGCCTCTTTAGATTGAATTGTCGTATGAGGGTAATTGTCTCTTGCAGGGAGCTCACTAATGGCTTCCTGTTCCTGAGTCAAGCGCTCTGCTTCCAGGCTCCGGAGAAGGAGGAGTTCCTGGCCTGGCAGCACGATCTGGAAGTGAACGACAAAGCTCCTGCCCAGGCTCGGCCAACTGTGTTTCGATGGACGGGGGGCGGAAAGGAAGTTTACTTATCTGGGTCCTTCAACAATTGGAGTAAACTTCCCCTCACAAGAAGGTAATCGCCTGGGTGTGTTCATCTATTTGTCTTAACCCAGGGCTACTTTGGTTTCTAAAGGACTCCTGTGGGTGAATAGAAGAGGATGTTTTTATAAAGTCGATGCTGAATGGAAAAATAGTTGTGCTTAATAATTCACAGGGTTCAAATCTCACACACCAAGGAGTCGTGCTAGGTTTAGAGCACACTTAGAAGAAAACGTTGCTCAGTTATGAGCATTTCCGTTTCACAGACACCTTTCACTTCAGATATTCTAGCTTTGTGTCTGTTCAGGCAGGACTTTTTTCAGAAAGAGAACTCTATTCCTAGCGCAGTGGACAGAGCAGGATTTGAGTCCTTGTTGGCTGAGCTGAGCCTCAGTGTTCCTCTCTGTGAGAAGGGAACGTTCGACCAGATGATCTCCCAGCTTCCTTCTAACTTGGACTCTGTATCACTTTTGTTTGAAAGGTACGCATTATGTAGGCGCCATTAGCACGACTATAGCCAAACACTTGCTCAGACACCCTAGCATGGATGGCGGTCTCAGATTGTCAGTGGAAAAGCATCTTCACTAGTAAGTCCTCTTGATGAAACAAAGGAAGAAATCGTGCCCTGCTGGGCCAGGCCTGGTTCTTGATAAGGAGCCGCCTGCTTTTCCAGGGGTCCAGCTGGTGTAGGAGGGAGCCACTCAGCCCAGTTACAAGTCATGCTGGTCGGAAGAACAAAACAATCATATGAGAGAGGTTTCGTGGAACCGTTTTTTTAGTAGTTATACTAGTTGCTTTAGGGAACTGTTTGTACATCCTGTGAAATTGATCCCCTGTCCTGAGCTAGGCAAGCTAGCAAAGGGTAAAACTTGGCGGGCAGCTTGCTGTTTATCTTGTGCTGCCATCCTCCTTGGCATCCAGGCTGCCAGGTGTTATTTTGCACACAAGTTGAGGACGAATGACTGTTCATTGACCTTTTGATGGTAGGAATGTGGACTCCTGGTGTTTGAGCAAAGTGAGTTTTCCAGGAAACCTCTTACGATGCCGCTTCCTGGTAGCTTTTCTAGATTGAGATCATTATACTGAATTGTCTAAATTGGTTAAAAATGTTTATTTCTCGTGCAGCTGAACCCTTGATTTTACAAGGGAAGTTTTGTTTTGTTTTGTTCCGTGGCTGGTTTTGCAAGTCAGCTAAGAGGGCAGCCCACCCCGCTAACATCGTCTGCGTCCTTTTTTCTTGCAGCCACAATAACTTTGTAGCCATCCTGGACCTGCCCGAAGGAGAGCATCAGTACAAGTTCTTCGTGGATGGTCAGTGGACACACGACCCTTCTGAGGTACCCTTCCTCCCGCCCTTGGTCCTCTGGCCACCCCCACAATCCAGACAAGTTGCCAGTTCCCTTTGTCCTGCTGGTCGAAGTCCCTGTGCGTGGCTGAGCTAGATAGCAGCGCTCCTTGTCAGCCTACTGGCATCCTTGACCGAGATGAGCAGGTAGGCCAGCCAGGAGATGAGACCTGCCAGCCAGGGCTGCTAGATCCTCTAAGGAACACCTCTAGAGACCTTCCACGTTGTGATTTCTGCCTGTCTGTCTCTTCCCAGCCGATAGTGACCAGCCAGCTTGGCACAGTAAACAACATCATTCAAGTGAAGAAAACTGATTTTGAAGTATTTGATGCTTTAATGGTGGATTCCCAAAAGTGCTCCGACGTGTCTGGTATGAGCAGTTATTTTATACCACGTGTGTGCCGGGGGGGTGCGTATAGTTTAGAAATACCTTGTTTCTCTTGCCTCTCGCACTTGAGCAGGAGCCGCCCAATCGGTGGATGTCTATAACTCCCCAAAGAGCCACAAAACTAATTCCTAACTCTGTGTCAGGTCAGGTTGCTAAAATCTAGCTCTGAGGGCCCCGTAAGTCATTTTTGGGGTCATCTCCAGGATTCCGTAGGTCTGCTTGGCCACAGAGAGCAAACACTGGAAACGGAACCAGAGCTTGATCTCGTGCCAGGGCAGGCCCAAGAGGCCCTAGAGAGTTGCATCGGGTCGGTGAGGGGCCAGCACTGGGGAAGCCAGCCTGCTCGGGGCACCTGGAGAGTTTCAGCCCGACAGGTGATAAACTGACCCCTCAGTGACCTTGGCATCAGTTTCGTGGTCCATGAGCACCTTGTCAGAATCCCTTCGTGGTGGTGGGGGGAAGGCTCACCACAGAACAGGCTACACAGCACAACCTGCTCGGTATGGTCCTAGTAAAACTCTCCCATCTTCCAAGAGTCATCCAATCATCGAACTTTCAGTAAATTGCTTTGCATCCAAACCCACAGGAAGAAACTGCTTGGAAACAGTATGTGCTACACGTTGGCATTGACAGTGTTCATACCAGTTGCACTGCCCCTTCTTGCAGGGCCTCAAACCGTCCCAGGACCCCCATGGGAAGCAGTGAAGGTTCCCTGGGACTGTGCCTGACCATCTAGGAAAACGGGTTCAGTTCACAGGATGGTTCTTCATTGTCACCTGCCTGGGCCTGGAGGTCCTGCCCCCAGGGTCTCTTAACTCTTTATCAGCTCAGAACTCACACTGGCAGGTGGACCACGTGGCTGACAAGTCATGTTATTGAGCAGGAATTGGAAATCCAAAAATAGCATTCTCTGCTCTGGATAGCTAACTGGTCTTCTAGAGAAGTCATTTCTGTTTTATTCAGACAGGTGGGAATTGGGGGGTGGGGGAAGTACCCAGATATCCCTTACTTGCTGATAAGTGAGATTTTAGGCCACAGTCCAAAGCTTTTAGTCAAGGTGCAGCAGAGGCTGCCCGGGAAAGGGAGCTGACCCCTCGCTGCTGGGAAACCAACTTCAGGCTCTCCATGCTCTTCTCATACTTAGACACTCCCTTTCTCAAAATACATATTGGCTCTTAATGGCTCAGTTTCCTGCACTGAATGCCTTTCTCAGTTTCCTGCTCTGATAGGGCTGGGTCGGGTGAAGGGAGTCTGTCCCCTTAAGAATGACGTGGAAGGAGCCAAGCCATCTCAGCTTTACGGGGACAGCACGAGTCTCGGCGGCCAGACACATCCCAGGTGTCCTTTGGATCACAGCTCAGTCCCCGCCAGCTGGCCACATGTTGCTAAGTGAGCAGCTTCAAAGCTTACGGAGCACTGCACTTCTAGAAGCTTCTTAATATATCTGTATAATGGGGATACTCCAGCATGAGTTTAAGAGGAACTGGAGAGCGATGGAGGCAGAGAGCTTTAGAGGTCAGGTCTTCACCTTTTCGTTGTTTTAGTTTTGAAATGCACCGGCGCCTCTGTGTGAACAGGCTGCTTTATCTTCGGTTTTATTCTGGCTGCTGGCGTGCCTCACTTGGGCCCAGCCGCATAAGCCTCACTAGAAGCCTTGAGCTTCTGTGCCGTACTTGCTGGCCCGGCCTGCAGTGAGGAGGACGCATCAGCCTGCGGCGGCTGTTGGGTCAGGTCGTTGTGAGCAGCTTCCCACGACTCTGTCCCAGACTCACTGCTTTGCCATGACTGCCGTCTGCCACCAGAGCGTCTGAATTCACTACTTGAGTTTTATGCCTGTCACCCAAATTCCAGAAGTGTTTTCTCATTGCCTCTGCTCTTCCCCCTTGGGGCCAGTATATCCTTCAAGAGAATATAAATCTGTACTGAGGGAACAGGAGATGTGGAAAACTAAAGGTCACCACAAATTGAGACTGTTCCCAGGACTCCTAATTTTCCAAGTAAATGTCCTGTCACCATCTCCCAACAGAGCTGTCCAGTTCCCCACCAGGACCCTACCATCAGGAGCCCTACGTCTGGAAACCAGAGGAGCGGTTTAAAGCACCACCCATCCTCCCGCCACATCTTCTCCAGGTCATCCTGAACAAGGACACGGGGATTTCCGTGAGTAACCAGACATCCGCCCAGACTGTCCTCCACGATCACATTCAGCTGCTCCCCTCTGTGCACGTCTTGCAAGGCAGCTCGTGAAAATGTTCAGTGTCACCCATCGGTGTTAACTGCCGGGGTCCCCCTCTGACGTGGTAAGGGGCTACTCACAAGATGTTCCCAGAGTGGGCCTCCCCATCCCACAAAGCCTTTCTGAGCCCTTCCTCTTGTGTTCCACTCCCACCTCAAATTTCATGACAAAATACATAACCGCCTCTTCTCAGTAAGCTGCGTGGTGGAATTCCTCCTCTGGCCCCCAGATTTTAGAATCTTGTTTGTTTGTTTTGCCGCGCTCGGAATGTGGGATCTTAGTTCCCCAACCACGGATCGAACCCACACCCACTGCAGTGGAAGTACGAAGTCTTAACCACTGAACTGTTAGGGAAGTTCCAGAATCTAGTTTTAATCACCAAATTGCTTTCAGAAACCTCAGGGCTCATGGATCAAAATTTGGGGTATGTGGGTAACACGTATTGCCCCTGGGAAATTGATATTACTTATAAAAAGAAGTGTGCTTCCTGCT